AGGGGCGAAGCTGCCCGCGGCAGACAGGAGAGCGAGGAGCGCGAGCATGGCTGATGTGGCGTGGGGACGACGGACACCGGGAGAGAAAGGGGGAGCGAGGCAGGCGAACGAGGAGCTATGAGGCTTCAAGGGGCCGCGATGTCATTAATTCATGCCCTGGTGTCGCGGGCTCTGCTTCTGGCTCCGAGAGCCACCATCATATGGACGCCCACCTCGCCGGCACGGCACCACCCCCCCCCCCCCCCACGAGCCCTTATTATTTGTTTCCTCTCACTCTCGCCCATATCCGCACATGAAATTGAGTCTCTTGGCTGGCCGGCCAGCAGCCAGCAATACCCCGCAGCGCATCTTGCTGGTCTGCCCGCCAGAGCAGTCGTGGAAGCTAGCTACCTCTCCAATATATGCTGTATATATTGCGAGAATATTCCCGGCTTTATATTGAATTGTTCCCTGCCAAGACGGCCGGTAGATGGGCGGCCTTCTTCGTTCTCGGCGGCTGAACTTATTGCATTTCGGGCTTCTGGGCCAAGGCTGAGGGCTGGAGCCCCAAGAGAACCCAAAGAGACAAAGAAATGCGAGAGCCATTCCGAGGCCCCAAGACAATCTCTCTGACGTATGGCCTTCACGAGCTTGTCTTCCAGTGACTATGCTATGATGGTCCGTCGGCTACAGTTTCTCTGCCAAGGGCGAGCCATTCTTTTACCCGCGTGCCTCTTTGCGAGGGGCCGGTGCGGACGAACACCACCACACCACCGCTTTCCCTGAGCTTCGGTGGCACAGAACGTCGAGACAAATTACCCGTGCAGCACCACCTCATGGGTTGGTGGCTGCAGGTCCAGGAGATCCCCTCGGATCCTTCTAGAACGCAGTTCATTTATGGGCCGGCAACATGGGAACGCACGCCTACCCACCTCAAACAGCAAATGACCTTGCAGCGTCATAGCCTGTCATTATGCGGCAAAGCAGAATACAGAGAAAACACATGATAAATTCCCGTCTACTGGTACACTCTATCAAGTTTGAGCGTCCCGCCTCCGCCCTGGGCAGCGTCAAGCTTGACCTGGATGCCTTTGGCCTCGCGCTTCTTGGCCGCGAGGCTGTCGAGCTCGTCAAACTTTCCCCGCGCGCCCTCGTCGAGGCCGTGAAACAGCATGGCCAAGGCGCTGGTCTTCCAGGCGCGCGCACCCGAGGTCCACGTGCGGTGGATGGCGACAAACAGGAACACGGTGGCTAGCAGCACCGCCAGCACCGGCACCGCCACGAAGCCCCAGCGCACGTGCACGTAGCTCTCGTTGGTCAGCGACGTGCCGTTGACTTGCTGGCCCGAGATGGCGCGGAAGCTGGCCGACATGGACACGGCCAGGTCGCTCATGAGCATGTCGAGCCCGTTCGCGTACTCGTAGTAGTTCCAGTAAAAGGCCTGGACCATGTCCGTGTCGAAGAACGTCACGCCCGACGAGATGCCCACCGTCAGGTTTACCACGATGGGGCTGCCCGGCAGGTTGGTCATGGTGCGGTTGGTAACGCTCGAGCTACGCGAGGCCGTGCCGTTGCGGAACAGCGTTGTGAACCACGACTGAATCCCCAGCATGGCGTTCGCCGTCATATTGTATGACGTTCCGGTGGTGTTGCTGGTGATGACAATGGGCTGCGGCTGCCCGTTACTGATGAGCGATGCGCCTCCGTCGCCGGGCACTGTGTCATTGGTTGTCTGGCTGAGGATGGTCTCGTTGAGGTTGCCGTTGCGCACCGACGACTGTATAGTCTGCACGCACGCGCTCAGTGTACACTGCCGCGCCCACGGCTGGATTTCACCCGCCTTGCCCGCCTGCGCCTCGGTGCCCATGAAGGTGAGCTTCATGATAGTCGAGTACGATGCGCCGCCCATAGATCCAGGGAACTATGGCAAGAAGCCTGATCAGCATGGCGCACTGCATAGACCACTGCCAGTCTCGACTCACCAGAGATGTCATGCCAAACACTTCCGCACTCGTGCTCAGCCGCGCCCCCGACGGCAGCGTCCAGCCGCAGCCAGACGTGCTGCCGCCGCGTGCCGTGCCGTTGGAGCAGAAGCGCGACAAGTACTCGGACATGTCGATGCACTTGTAGCACACCGCCAGCGTCTCAATGGGGTCCCAGTCGCAGTCCCCTGTCTGGCAGGTAAAGGGCAGGCTCATCCATGGTTTTCCGTTCTCGGCAAACATGCCGTTGTACACGGCCGCCTTGAGGGGCAGGATGGGCACGAACGGCGCCGCGTCGCTGTTACCAGACAGGGCCGGCCCGTACTTTAGCGCTCGAAAGTTGACAGCCCCCTGGGGCGTCGACACGGTCCGCACGGGGTATGTGGCAATCTGCTGGGCAAAAGGATTCAGCAGAAGCGCAATCACCATAATTGTGCAGCCAAACGATCCGGCGATCCTGCGAATCTGGCGTTAGTCGAGCATCACAGCTAGAGGGTCTTCTCTGTCACTTGGAACGTACCCTCCACGGGCCCGCAGGAGCAGGGCCAGGGCACCCAGAGCGCCACGGCTCGCGTCATCAAAGAGCTCCATGTCTGAGAGAGGTGTGCGGTTCTGCCTGAAGCGAATCCACTTGAGCTGGCCTAGGCCACTGGACAGGGGCACACTCATGCTGGCGGTAGCGATGGTGGCCAGGATGGCAATAATGGCGTTGAGCGTGATGGAGGACGGCCACGACGGCAGTGACTTGCCGTCGTAGTAGGCTAGGACGCCCGTGATGGACCCCACGGCGCCGATGGCGAAGAGCATGCTTAGCATCTCGTACGTCCACGAGTTGGCCCTGGAGAGTATGGACTCGCCGGTCAGGCCAGTCTTTTGCGACGAGCCATCGGTCCCGGCGGACTTGGGGACCCTGTCCCAGACTACGGGCGAGGCATTGAAGGCTGTCTGGGTGAACTGCGGCTGCTTCTCGGGGACGGGTGGTGCGAACTGGCCGTCGGCAATTTGATCTTGAGGCGCCTGGTATGGGGTGTTGAGATACTGGGTCGACAGCAGAGGGGGCGACTGGGACGGCAGCTGCGGGGACAGGACCAGTTGAGGTAACTGGATCGAGGACTGGCTCGAGGGCGAAATCTGCTGGGGCTGGGGCTGGGCAGACATTTGATAGGCAGGCCTGTATCCGGCGTCGATGTTCAGGTACTGGTAGGTTCCGAAGCCAGCCTCGGCGGCCTTGGTGCTGTCCTGGCCAGTGACAGCTTCGTCCCCGCCGAGACGGGTTTGTCGGTATGACATGTTCCTTGACGAGTCTGCCTGCGGTGTAGTGGAAATGGGGGCACGAACGTGGACGTGGCAAGCTGTGAGATAGTAGGGCTCCAGAGGGCGAGTCTAGTGGAACCATGGGGGTATTTGACTGCTGGCAGCAATGGGCAGATGCGCGGATGAGCCGGTACCCTAACGGGTAGGCGTCTGTAGTCTGGCCCATTGTGAGGAACTGGGATGGGTGCTGCTATCGGCGTTGACGCCGCCATGCAGCGGTATGGTCCGGAAGGGCAAGGTTAAGGATGGTCCGCCGGGGCACAGAGAGGCACCTTGGGGCCGGGACGCGGCAGAAGGCCGGGGGCGGGCGGGAGCAGGAGCTGTCATTCGTGTGACAAGTTCGTCTTGCCGCGAGTCTGCGTTGTTCGACAGCCCCCATGGTCTGGTCCGGTCCTGCAGATGGAAGACTGAGCTGAAGGGTGGGTGGCAGGCCAAAACAGGGCACGTTCAACGTTGGCAGATAACGACAGTACGGTCGAGAAACATGGCTGGTCAAGAACAAGTAACGCCGCAGCCGCCTGCAAGCCACGGATGCAGTTGGTTGAACGGGAGCCGTTCCCGCCATGGCCAGCGCTGATTAGCTTATTGTTCGCATAAAGTTTGCAGTCGACCGTCAAGATACTGGACTCTCTCTGGCCCCATGTCTCATTCTGGGAATATTGCTCAAGTGTGCTGCCGTCAGCAACAACCGGCCACGGCAGTCAACACCTCAGGTCTATCAGCCGCTCAGTCAGTGTTGTCGATCAGCTACAGTAGCATCACGACAACGAACAGCAGCAACCAACAGCAGCAGTCTGCATGGTTGCAAAGCCGCGGACAGGGAGAAAACAATCGGCCGCGTCATGTGCTGACACGCATTGGATTGGGTCCAGGCCGGGCGAGGCAGGTCTGCACTGCGGTAGCGTCCATGTTCTGAGGTTCTCTCGTCAATCTCAGCATGCCGTTGACCAAGGCAGCAGTCTGCATGCATGGGCGCACATCCGCCATCCGCCTAGAACAAAGTCGATGAGAGATGGGGGCCAGCTGAAGGCGGTATGTAAGTACGCATATGCAAGTCCGGTAACGATCCCAAAGTTGTGCGTCGGGGTGGGATGGAATAAAAATTGAAAGAAGATGAAAATCTGTTGAAGAGGGTGTCGACGACTGCGTTCCCTCACACCTCAGGTTTCCATTTTTAGCTCTTACCACCCCGCGATTGCAGGCACCGTGCTGTTGCAGTGTTGCACCTGCCGGCTCTTTCCCACAGCAGCGGACGGCCAGTGAGGACGGACTCTGCCCCGCGCCTGCCTGAGGAACGCGGCACAGCCCCAATTCGAAACTTCCACTTGGTCTGTCGCTGCACGGCGGGCCCCCAAACCATTGGACGCCCAACTCTGAGGGGTGATAAGCTCTTGTTTTGGCTTTTCTCTCGACGGCGCGGGCTGGGGCTCGACGGGATTCAGCACATGGATGTTTCATCCCGACCCAAGGTAACGCCCCCTCACACAGTACTAGGCACAGGCTCGCAACTGTCCCTCCACAGTGGGGTGAGAGAGCCCACCAAAGGAGGGGTTCGGATGGATCAAGACCGCAACCCCACAACGGCAAAACCTCAAGCTTTTTTTCGATCCGCAATTCAAAAGGTTCCATCTTGATATGCCGAGGAACGGAGCCTTATTTTCTATCTCTCCTCTTTAATAACATGCATTTCCACTCCGTAATCTCGTCAAACAAGCCTACTGCGGCGCCTGATTAGCACAGTGGTAATGCGTTGCACTCGTAACGAGACACATCATCTTGAAACATGCAAAGATCACTGGTTCAATTCCAGTATCAGGCACTTTAAAACCTGATATTCCAATATCACCACTCTTTCTTTTTACACTTGATGATTTCTGTAAGAAATCATCACCAACACAACCCAGAGAGTGGTTTACCACAAGGTATCTGTGGTCTGGCTGCATTCCATGGTCTAGGCAGTTTTCACCTCTGACCCGCCAGTCCGCTCTTGATCTGCATTCCCAACAACACGTCTAGCGACGAACACGCTCCCACCCGCAGATATCCACCTTGCATGTCGTTGAACAACCATGCCACGACAACCCCTTGTGAGAAAATGGGAAGAAAAACAAAAGAAAGAGAAAAGAAGGTTCTGATGCTACACCCGCCCCTCTGCAACACCGCCAAAAAAAAATTCATATTAGTCCATGCTACTCCTTCCTTCCAGTCTGGCCGGGCCCTACCTTGCTTGCATGACCCTTGACATAGGTCTTTTCTAGTGTACTGCCTAGTTTTACGTTTCAAGTTTTCCTGGGACCTACCTTACCTTACCTTTTTCCCTACCTCCACTAGAACTAGCTTGTACCACCTCGGGTAGGGCCGGCCGGGCCGGCCGAGCGGCTGCATAATTACGGGACGAAACGTGCCCTGACCTGCCCTGACCTGACCTGGGGGTTTCTCTCGGTGTCGAGCCAGTCAGCCTCTTTGATTACGACAAGCATGTGAACATGCCTACTCCTAATAATAATGGCATGCTCAACTTTCTGCGAGGAACGGCGACATCAGTGTAAGCAAGCCTCGCGATACCTTGGCTAAATGATGAGCTACCTTACCTTACTTGGACAGCCGAGTTAAACTATTAACCCCTCAAGCAGGTCTCGCAGGAGAGACCTCAACCAACCAACACCCAAGCCAGAACGGATGGCATACGAAGCTACGATATTCATGACACATTTGCACACTGGTTTCGTCACAGTCTAGCGACATGCGTACCTAGATTCCACGTCTACATCTTCGGCTGACGCCCAGTGCGTAAGAGCACAACACCATTGCGCCGCAAGACTCACGGGAATCCCAAACAGCAAAATTCACCACATTGCCCCATATGGAATTTGGCAGTCTTGCAACGATGCATAAAAACCGGCCGTCGTATCCGTACGCCACGTTCCATTATTGACAAAGCGGTGAAAGTCCGTGTCTACATACATAAAGTCCCAGTTTTAGCTACATGCGGCCAAGTTTAGGTTTTCTAGCCCCATTCTGGTTTCTCTTGCAAACCAGCGCCCGTGTGGGCGCCGTCGAGCACATAGCAGAGCTCTGGTTTTCGCCAATTTGTTTCGCAGATTTTGTTTTGTTTTTTAGTCGGGGTAGTCATTTGACAGGCACCGTCCCTTGTCCAACAGTCCAAAGGACAGCCCCTTGTTGAAGGACCATCCCTTTAGCCCACCTCGTAAATACGACGGCAACCCCAGAAAGGATGCCCATGGCCCTAACCCCTCAATATCGCATGCCGAGCCAAAGTGTCCCGCTTGATAGGAAAGTTAAAGCACGTGCGAGACGCAGCTTTCAAAGAGTATGCAAAGGTCGTTGTCATCTGAGTGCTTGCGACCTTGGAATGTGGGCCTGCAAGCGAGTCATAAGTCTTGATCATTCCAACGTGTTTTTGTCCGAGCCTGCAAAAAAAGACATTCGGGAGAGATGGTATATGGATCAGCCAAAGGACGCCGTTGCGAGCCCGAAAACCCGGTTGCCCTGTACCGAAAAGAAGTGCCGGGGAAACCGAAAAAAAGAACGCGGATATCGAGACCGGAACCGGCCAGGATGTCAATACAAAGGAAACCGAAATGCCAACGGCCTGGGCACTCGCCGCCTGCCATAGTGACAGGCCCGGTGCAGTTAGGCAACGGGAGCGACGGGAGGAGCAGCCGGGGCGGGGATGCTCTGCGCGGCGCTCAGATCAGGGTTCGTCTGGATCGGCTGAGCATCGCCGTTGGGCTTGGCCTTCTCGGGGCAATCGCGGCTGATGTGGCCCGCCTGGGAGCAGTTGTAGCAGATCTTGCCAGCCGTGTTGAGGGGTCCGCCGTTGGGAGCGGTGCAGTCGCGTGATATGTGCCCCAGCTTGCCGCAAGCGTAGCACTTCATCGACTGTGCTTGGCAATCGCGGGCAAAGTGATTTGGACCACCGCACTTGTAGCAAGTCGCCGGACGCTGACCCAGTGGGGGGTAGCGGTTCGGCTGCTGAAATCTAAATTGGCCTTGGGGCATCGGGGCGCCCCTGGGCAGTCCAACAGGTCCAGCAGGCCCGGCGGGCCCGGCGGTTGGCGGGTTGGGGCAGTTGCGCTAGGGAAACGAGTGGAGTTAGACGACGGAGAACCTAATGTGTGGGCCACGTCCAGGTAGAGTTTGACATACCATAAGATGACCGGGGAGACCGCAGTTATAGCAACGGCCCGTGGTACCAGCGCTGACCAAGCGAAGGGTCGGGCAGTCAGCCTGAACGTGTCCTAGACCTTGGCAGTGGTAGCACTGCTTGGCCTCGGTGCTGCGAGGCAAAGGGCATTCGTTCGATTCATGATCTGGCAGGCTCAAATTTCAGTCCCGGGCAAACTAGCGTAGAAGCAGGGAACAAAACCTACTCGGCTGCTTGCCTATTCCAGAGGTTGATTAGTGACTTGCTCAGCAAGAAACGAGAGGGGGATTCTGCTTACAGTTGTAACAGAGGCGATGGGGGGATGAACACGCTTCGGCGTGGTGTCCAAGCTCGCCACATTTATAGCAGGCGCGGCGAGAGAGCGACGACATTATTTCGTATGGGTTATATTCTTCTGCATCAGCTGTCAGCGCAACGCTCAGTGGCTTCTTATCACAGCCGGTCCTTCCTGGACCTGACAAGCAGTATGCGACAAAAGGCAGCATAACAAAGAAAAAAAGGTGAAGTAATTCAATCCGGTAGACAAGGCGTAAGGCCACGTTGAAGCATGAGCAGACCAGGATCGATCGAAGCGGCGGTGGCCGGAACCGTATTTAACTGCAAAAAGCAGACTTCGACTCGCTTTGCAAACTTCATAATAACCCTCGGCCATGTCGCAACCCCGAGCTTAATTCGCCCATGCGAAGGAACGAAGGCAGGTTGCGCGGGGCAAAGTTTAACATGTGGACTTGATGGGACACGGTGTTTCGAGACGCAGGAATCGCGTAGCAAACAAAAATGTCGGGGGGCGTGTTTCTTCTTGTGCTTGCGGAATGCGAAGAAAAGCCTTGGCTCACGTATGTCGTCGTTTTGTCCTTCGCAGTCCAGAACGGGGTCGTTTGAATCCTCATCCAGTGTGCCTAGGAGAGTCTTGACTGAGGGCTTCACTCCCCAGCCGGGCTGCAAATGCTCGGGGTCCGGTTGGAAACCGGCTGCCCAGCGGGTCGCCATGCTGTCTTGTTCTTGATACTCTGACTGTGGGGTGTGCCGGTCATCGATGTCACGCAACCCCAGGTGTGGGGGTGTGTCATCTTCGCCAATATCTCGGAGAATACTGCGAATCACCGTGTGATCCCCCACTGTAGGTTTCCTTGCGACCGCGGCGACGGAGGAGTGCGAAAGCTTACGCGCGTTTAGCAGCGAAGCTCGTCCCGGGCCTTGAAATTTGCTACGAGCAGCGGCAAAACAAGATGCGCCAGCCTTCAGCTGATAGAATGCCGAGTCGAGCTTCATGGTTGCGTCCAGCCGTGCGGTCGCGCGCACATATCCGGTCGTATCCTTGGTTCGCAGAGAGAAAATGTGTCGCCAAGATGGTATGTGGGGTTGACGACGTGGACGGCGAAATGTGAATGAATGTCGGAATCGATGGTCGACCAGACGGGCGCGCGAGGGACGAACGAGGCAAATGGGAGGGAAGTGTGGGTTGGACGGAATTCGGTTTCACTGACCTTCTGGGGGAGGGGGTTGCAAAAACAAAAGGGTGACCGTGCCGAGTTCCTGTTCCGGGTCCTGTTCCTGTCCTGTCCTGTCCAACTCTCTTTCCCTGCAACCAGCAACGACAACCTTCGTCTCGACCTTCGACTTCGTCACCAACAACGACCAAAATAAAACTACACCTGAAGAGGTTGTTCCTAGAAGCGATGCTGAAAAGATGAAGGGGAGAGGAAAGAGCGGAACAGACGGAACCATGAAGGACGGGGAAAGGGATGGGCCCGGAGCTAAGGTAACTTAGTGTCGAGCAAAGCTTCCGCAAGGGGGCAAGGGCGAAGCGCGAAAGGGAGCTAGGTGACAAGGGAGCGACTTCCAGCTCGTCGCCATGGCCGCCGCGCCTGCTGCCTGCTCCCTGCGCCGGTGCCGCCAAACTGCGGGGCCTGGCCGCGGTTGGCTAGCAAAAGCGAGGTACCTTATGGGTACATGCATGCGGCAAGTCAAATCTGTCTGCTCCATTGTCCACTCTGTGAACAGGGCAGTGGTCGACGCTTCCAACTCCCTACCCAGCGCATTGTTTCCTCGGTTAGCTGGGGCGAACTGGGTTGGGGTCGCGGACGAAACAAAGCTCCCAGGCATTCCATTACTCTAAAGCACCCCCAGAACCTTAGCACCAGCCTTTCCCGCCGGGAATCTCACGACACAGCACGCATCACCCCTGCACTGTAAGAACAGTCTGATAGGTGCCGATTAACGACCCGGGAAGTTTGTTAAACTTAAGGTAGCTTACGGCTTGTGCTAAAAAAAAGAAGACAAAACTCAAGAGCTTGGCGAGCTCTCTATGTTGGTGTCCACTCTCACCTTCCGCTGTCACCCACACACCCATCATTTCGAACGGTTCTCTCCATCGAACTGGTGCAGCGCGCCGTCCCGATCTTTGGCTCTTCCCATTGGCCGAGATTGGGAGCGGCTCGTGACTGACTCGAGCCCGTCTCTGGGAGTCCGCTCGAGCCCTGGCTCGTGCCCCATAGACGGCCGTGCTGGTTCGTTCGTTGGGAATTCGAAGGTACCGCCGCCAGCGCCTTTGAAAGACGGAGGCGGCAGAAACGGCTTTGTCGTTGTTCCAGCTCTTTTTTAGAGTGACGGGAGTTACTCAACTGCCT